TCCATCAGGGCTTGAGATGTGTGAGCTTTCAAGGGCACGAGCGATCAATGCATACCCCGGACGCATTGGTGAGGGCTCCCCCCTTCCACCCGTGATTGCCCCCCTTAATTCCAGAAGGACTTTTTAGTTGCCTTTTTTAAAAAATGGCTTTCCTCAATCCCTTTATAAAAGCTTTTACTCATTCATACTTTTGGGCGAGAAGATAAGTGGAATATATGGTAAGCAGACAGAGGAAAACTTAATTCTGTACCACAGAAGGGGAACCAGCAGTGTGGAGAATAGTAGAATATAGTATTTTTCTCAAGAAACTTTAAAGATTACAAATATTTAAGTAATTGAAGTAATTCAAAGCTTAGATTTTGTGGGACTGTATTCCTTCTGTAGGGACTATCTTTATATATTTTGAAATGATATATATATACTCAAAATTTTTTTGTCATTCAATCATGTAGTCAAGCTGTAGGGTACTTGGTTTTACATCGTAATTGTATATTAAATTTCCATGGAATTTTATTTGCTGGAAGGGCTCTTAGATTTTTTTTGTTGAACCTGAAATATTAAGTGACTGAGAGACACAACACACATACATTCATCTTGTGTATAAATTGAGCAGCTGTCCACATAGCAATTCCTTGTATCCAAGAAGCCTAAATGTAATATATTTAAGTATTTTTAAATATTTATGTATGTAAATATTTTTATAATTTAGTTTAAAAACTGATGGATGTTTTGCATGTTTATTTTTAGTTTTAAGGTATATAGTTCCTGAATAATACTTTATTTTCATTTTTTATTTTTGGAATTGTCTCACTATGTTGTTTAGGTTGGTCTTGAACTCATGGGCTCAAGTGATACTTGTTCCTCAGCCTTCAGAAGAACCTATGACCATACCTGGCTCCTTTGAGTGTCTTTGCGATAAAGACCATTTTATTAAGAGCCAACATTTTTTAATTTTATGAAAGATTACTGATGAACGCTTTTTAGAGACATGTTTATATGCTCCAGAGATTTTTAAGTCTTGGACATAGGTTTTTATGAAATGAGAAATTTGAAAGCAGAGCTTAATGACTTTTTTTTGTCAATGGCAAACAAAAGCAGGGTTTTTTCATTACTGAGGAGGCAAAAACGATCATATATTGGATAAAAATTTAATTTCATTGCCTTTGGTAAATGAGATTGTGAGTTAATTTATAAAATTTTAAGAAATTTGACTTTTTGAGTTGAATGTATACAGTGGTCACACACACGTGCATTCACACAACCACACACCTCTTTCCCTTGTATATGTAGAGGAGTATAGGACAGTTTAAGTAATATAAAATTGGCTGAAAAGAAAGTCGTTTTTATCCTTAAGAGAGTGGAACTGATAAGTTAACAAAAACTTGGTAAGGTGACACAAGGTTCTGTAACCACATAAGCATAGGAATTTTTTTCAGAAATTTGCAAGTTTTACTTTATATTTTGTATAGGTTTTTCAAATAACAAATTTGAAGAAGGTGATAGCTCTGGTTTCTGGAAAGGTAAGTTTAGAATTTTTGTACTGACTTTTAAAAATGTAATGTCAAAGGCATATGATAAAGGGGATATTAAGATTCAACATTTGGTCCAGGTCTAAGTTATATTAACTTAGTTTTATAAAGCAACTGTAGGGGTCCTAACCAAAGATGTTACTGTTTGTAGGTAAAGAATTCAGGTATCCTAATTTGGCTTATTGCTATCTGCCTTAGTTAATCCATAAGATACAACTTTGAATGCTGTGCTACCTTCAGAAAAAGGCGATAGATAGTAAAGAGAGCAAATCAAGAATTAAAACTCCAGTCCATATCTTAATATAGCCTAGGACCATTTATACTCAAATTTAGTCTAGTAGGAAGATTTTTAAGAATGTAAAACACTCCTGAAATTAAAAGCATTTCTGTCAAAGGTAATGATAGTCTAGTTTGGGGAATTACAGAAAATTAAGAGAGTAGAATAATGTTTCTAGAAGGAAGACTACAATAATAAATAATGCTTTTCCAAATATAATGAGTAGATTTGAATGAAACCTTGGAGTTTGTATATAAAAAGCTTCCGTTGTGATTCTGATGTCTTCTTTGTTTGAAAACCATTGATTTATGTAATTTATTTTCTTTTGGAGATAGGGTCTCACTATTAAGCCAAGGCTGGCCTGGAACTTACTATGTTACCCAAGCTAGCCTCAATTTTGTGATCTTTCTGCTTTATCTTCTCTTGTGCTAGGATTACAGGTTGCACCACTACACCCACCTTTCAGTGGAATCTTTATAACATAGTACACTTTGGAGTTCCACACTTGTTCATTTTTCTGCCTTGATACCTGGCATCTGTCTGTGCCAGGTTGACTCCTTTCTAGAGATGGTGGGTCAGAGTGAATATAAGCATTAATTGCAGTTTCTCATCGCACTCAAGAGAACTTTTCTCCAAAGTAGTCTTCTTTCTTCACTTTTGGTGCTTTCTTCTGATTTTATTATTAGTTCCCTGAAAAGAAAAAATATATATATGGGTAAATTATCTCACTCCCTCAATTGTTGGCAAGCCCAGGAGGGGGTTTTAAGATCATGGAAGAAGTTTTACTTGCATATGAATAGTGTTCTGTGGTTGTTTTTCCCCGTTCTTTAGTTTTCCCCACTTGTTATAGTATGATGATAAGGAGTTCAGGTTTTGGAGTTGAGCACCCTAGGTTTGAGACTCATGTCTTCCTCCTTGCAGTTGTGTTATCTTTATTTAACTTTTTTTGTGTTTCATTTTCTCTATAAAGTGAAGATTATATCCACTTGACAAAAGTTTCATGAGGATTTAAAAAATTAATACAAAAAACCTGAGTGTGGTGGCTGTAGCTATAACCCCAGTTACTCAGGAAGCTGAGGCAGCAGGATGGATCACTTGAGCCCGGGAATTCAAGACCAGCAGGGAAATATACCGAGTGGCTCGACTAACAATGCAGGGAGTCCACGAGACTCACTCACAGCAATTCCAGGCACATCCTGAGTTCTGTGTGTTTTATTTTTGTAGATTAATAGGTTGTAACTAATCTTGTGATCATAATTTCATTTTTATTTGTGTTTGGCTTTATTTTCTAGCTCTATAGAGAGCCTGTTTTCACAATTTTATTTTGAAATAGTTTGATAAGAAGTTACAAAAATGGTATAGAGAGATTTCATTTATTCTTCATCCAACTTCTCCTAATATCATTGTTTTACTTCCAAGGTGGTCAAAATAACTATAGGTTTGTTTTAGGGGAATAGTTGGCCAAAGATAATGTTAGTCTTTTCGACTTGCCAGATCCCAAATTAATCAGTAGGATTTTTTTCTCTAAGCAAATAAATATTAGCTATCATCATCATTTCAGGGCTAGCCTTCTTTCTAAAAGTTTTTCTTTTCCTACTCAGCTCCTTTATATTAAACATCCCTTTCAAGAAAGTTGTCTTGTTAGATTACTCTTCGAGAATATTTGTTAGACGTCTACTACAACTCAATAGGACTCTAGATCGCCATTATTAATTTCTTTTTGTAAAACAAAACATATTGGTACCTTTGCTGAAATTTGGCTAAAACCTTGGAATCCATTTGGTCACTTGATGTTAATACTGTTAAAGTTGTCAGGCTGGGAATGGTAGAATTAAACCTGTGATCCCAGCTATACAGGAGGAGATCTGGAGGATTGTAGTTCAAGGCCAACCTGGGAAAAAGTTAGACCCCATTTCAACAAATAAACTGTGTAGGCCAACTACCTGGGAGTTGGGAGGCTATAGATGATGGACCATAGTCCAGGCTGACCCCTGGCAAAAACATGAGACTGTATCTAAAAAATAAACTAAAACAAAAAGGGTTGGAGGTGTGATGTAAGTGCCAGAGAGCTTGCTTAGTAAATGCAAGGACCCGAGTACAAACACCAGTACCACCAAAAACCAAGTTCTCAGGTAGCTGTTGGGGCTGAGTGTGGTACACACCTATAATCCTAGTTACTTGGGAGGTGGAGGTAAGTTTGAGGCCAGCCCACACAAAAAGTGAGACCCTGTCTCTCAAAAAACAAGCCAAGAATCCTTGCTAAAACTTAGCACACACATACAACCCCTAATAACAAAAACTAAACAAGCTAGGTGTGGTGGTGCACACATGTAATCCAGATACTTGGGAGGTGGAGTTAGGAAGATCTCAGTCCAAGGCCAGTGGGGCAAAAGCAGGAGACCCTTTCTGAAAGACTAAAAGCCTAAGGACTGGAGCGGAGGGCATAGCTGAAGTGGTAAAGTGCTTGTGTAGCAAGTGTGATGCCCTGAGTTTAATGTTAGTACTTCAAAAAAAAAAAGTTCTCAGCTAGTAAATGTTAATGACATGTACAAAGATTTCTTGAAACCGCCTCAATTTCCCAAATGTGATTTTGTTGGAATTTTCTGAAAAACTTAAGTTTGAAAACTTACTCTTTCACTGGTATCATTCTATACATTCAGAATAAACTCTGGGAGTGAGATCTGGGCTTTTATTTTTAATGAGTTTCCCAAATAACTCTTAGGCAGTCACTGTTTTAAAACCCAGCAATGAAACTTGTTAATGTCATTAGAAATAGAGAAACTAGGGTATCATTTAATTTGTTAGAATGAATGTGGAAAAGTTTGCATATATTTAAGAAAGTATCAGTGTCTCAGAGATATTAAGAATAAGTAAATAACAGAAAAGTATATGACATTATAAGTAGGAGAGTCATGTGTTTCTAGTGGTCTATGATCACCTTTGAGAATCATTTGATTCCTTAATAGTTGAGATATTCTTGAAATCGTATTTAGTCTCACTTTTAAGAAGTTTTTGATATCACATAGACTACCACTAGACAAATAGTGGGTTCTCAATTATATACTTAGTATTTATATTGGGATATATATTTTGTATAGGGAATTGACTAACGTTTTTATATTTCTGTTAAGGTTATTTCAGGAATTAAGATGTTTATATTTTAATTTATAAAAGTATTTTGTTTTCTAACTAATTTACCTTGTGACAGTGCTTTTCTTTATATATCATGTCTTTAAAGATGCTATTCATATGTTAAATTTTTATTCAAGAGTCCAATAATGACTGTGAAGATAATCAGACATGGAGCAGAGGGTTTTCCAAGAGAGGTGGTAAGAATTACAGTTTGGAACAATTTGTGCTTAAGATAGAAATATTAAACTGACAAAACTGGTTTTGGAAGAGCTGAAAGAATGATTCTAGTGATGAAAACTTTTGAAGAAAAATAACTTTGGTTTACACTTTCTGCTTTTAATACTTGAATGAAATTCAGTAGGTTCATTTCTTATATTTGTGTGTGTGTGTTAGCAGTATGAGGGTTTGAATTCTGGGCCTTGTGCTTGCTGGGAAAGAGATTGACTACTTGAGCCGTGTTCCCAGTCCTTTTTTGCTTTAGTTTATTTCTCAGGTTAGGCTCTCACACTTTTTGCCTAGCCAGCCTCAGACTGCCATCCTTCCACCTTCAAACCTCCTGAGTAGCTGAGATTTCAGGTGTGTACCATCGTGCCTGACCCATCTGGTTTCTAATGTTACTAGATCTTTTGTTTTTTTTCTAAGACTTCAGGAATGTGCTGTAAATTACACAAGAGGGTTATGAATCTTGAACATTTACAGTTTAGATGAACTGGAAATGTATTTGTCTGTGAATAGGGTCATTGGAAATTTGGTGAGGAGGGAAGGAATTGCAGATTTTTTTTGTTTACGTCTAGCAGGATCTCAAAATATTCTTAGGATTTTAAGATGAGATAGTATAAAAGAGTTCTTTGAGAATTCTTTAGTTCATTTTCCTATTTATTAAATAGATTGTTCTTTTGGTGTCTGATTTTTGGAGCTTTCTATATATTTTGGCAATTTTATGTGATGAGTAGGTGGAAAAGATTTTTTCCCAATCTGTAGGTTGTTTCTTAATTATTTTCTTTAGTGAGGAGAAACTTTCAAGTTTGATATAGTCACACTTGTTCTTTCCTGAGCAATTATAATCCCATTCAGAAAATTGTTATTTATTCTTATATTTTCAAGGGTCTTAATGTTTTCCTATAACAGTTTCAAAGTTTAAGGCCTTACATTTAGTCCTTGATTGTCTTGAATTTTTGCTCAGGATGAAGTTAAATTAATTTTAGCTTCAGTTTTCTAATTGTATATATTTAGTTTTCCCAAAATCATTTTTTGAAGAGGCTGTCTTTTCTCCAAAGAAAAGAGGCTGTAGCTATGTGGGCTTATTTCTGAACCTTTTATTCCATTGGTGTATGTGCTGTTTTTGTTACTATGGCTTTGTAGTATAATTTAAAAGTCAAGGATTGTGATGCCTCCAGCATTGCTATTTTTTACTCAGGATTGCTTTGGCTCTTTGAAGTCTTTTATGCTTCCATAGGAATTTTAGGACTGACTTCTCTGTTTGACTGAAAAGTGACATTGGAATTTTTATGGAGGATTGCATTGAATCTGTAGATTGCTTTTGTTGGTATAGTCATTTTTATAACACTAGATCATGTTCTAGTGTCTTGTTTAATTTTTTTCAAGGTTTCATAGCTTTCATTTATATCTTTCACCTTATTTGTTATTCACTTATTTGTTAAGTTTATTCCTTAGGGTTTTTTTTTTTTGAGGCTATTGTGAATGGGTTTGTTTTCCTGATTTCTTTCTCAGCCTGTTTGTTACTGGTATATACAAAAACTATTGATTTTGTATGTTAATTTTGTATACTGTTATTTTGCTGAAAGTGTTTATGAGATCTAAAGAATTTTTTAGTGGAGTTTTTGGTAGTATAGCCATTTTCAGTATTAATTCTGCCAATCCATGAGCATGGGATATTTTTCCATCATCTGCTATTTTCTTCAATGTCTTTCTTTAGTGGCTTATAGTTTTCATTATAAAGATCTTTCAACTTCCTTTGTTAGTTTATTCCTAGGTATTTTTGAGGCTATCATAAATGGAATTGTTTTCCTAAATTCTTTATTAGTCTGTTCACTGTTGGTATGTAGAAAAACTATTGGTTTTTGTATATTGTTTTTCTAATCTACTTAGATGAAGATGTTCATGATATCTAGGAGTTTTTGTTGGAGTTTTTAGGGTCTTTTATGTATAATATGTCATCTGCAAATAAGGATAATTTGACTTTTTTCTTTCCCATTTGAATTCATTTTATTTTTTCCTGTCTTATTGCTCTGACTAGGAATTCCAAAACTCTGTTGAATAAGAGTGGGCTTTTGCCTTATTCCTGGCTTTAGAGGAAATGGTTTCAATTTTCCCTATTTAATATGATGTTAACTATAGGTTTGTCATATATAGCCTTTATTTTGTTGAGGTACATTTCTTTTATTCGTACTTCTATCTGAACTTTATCAAGAAAGTATGTTGACTTTTTCAAAGGCTGTTTCTGCATCTATTGAGATGATCGTGTAATTTCTTTCCTTGATTTTGTTTATGTACTGTATTACATTTATCAATTTTCATATGTTGAACCATCCCTGCATCTCTGGAATGAAACCAACTTGATCATAGTGTATGATCTTTTAATATGTTATTGAATGCACCTTGTCAGTATTTTATTGATAATTTTTTGCATCTATGTTCTGTGAAGAGATTGGCCTATAACTCTTTTTGGTTGGGTCCTTTTCTGGTTTTTGGATTAGTATAATACTGACTTAATAGGATGATTGTGGTAGTGTTCTTCCATTTCTATTGCATGGAAAAATTTGAGGAGTGTTGATATTAGTTCTTCTTTAAAGGTCTGATAGAATTCAGCAGTAAATCCAATGGGTTCTGACTTTTCTTTTTTTGGGAGACTCTTCATTTCTACTTCAGTTTCATTTCTTGTTGTAGACCTATTTAGGTGGTTTATATTCTGTTCAGTTTTGGTTGGTCACAGGTATCTAGAAAGTTCTTCTAGATTTTTCAGTTTATTTGATTTTAGGTTTTCAAAGTATTCCCTAACTAGCCTCTGGATTTCATTGGCATTTGTTGTGATAATCCCCCTTTTAAATCTCTATAATTATTTATTTGGGCCTTTCCTAACCTTGTAGTCACATTCACTAAGAGTTTATCAATCTTATTTTACCTTTTCAAGCAACAAACTTTTTGTTTCATTGATTCTTTGTGTAGTTTTGTTGTTGTTGTTGTTGTTGTTATTGTTCTCTATTTCATTGACTTTGGCCTTTATGTCTTTCCTGCTGGTTTTGGGTTTATCTTGTTCTAGTGTGTGGAGGAATTTGAGATGCAGTATGAGGTCATTTATTTGAGATCTGTTTTTAATATAGACACTCATAGCTATAAACTTTCCCCTTAGCACTGCCTTTCCTATATCTCATGGGTTGTGGTAGGTTGTGTTTTCATTTTCATTTTCTTCCAGGAACTTTTTGATTTCCTTCCTTATTTCTTTGATGACCAAGTGGTCATGCAGCAACGTGTTATTCAGTCTTCATGTGTTCAAATACTTTCTGTTGTTCCTTTTGCTTGTTTTATTCCATGTGGTCAGACAGTATACAGGGAATTATTTCAATTTTTTTATATTTGTTAAGACTTGCTTTGTGTCTTAAACTATGACCTGTTTTGGAGAACCATTCCATGGGCTACTGAGAAGAATGTGTATTGTGCTATGTCTGGATGAAATACTGTGTAGATGTCTGTTAAGTCTATTTGGTTTATGATGTCACTTAATTCTGAAGATGTTTTGTTTTTTGGTCAAGAAAGGATGTTTATGATTTATATATTATTGGCAATGGAGTATTGAAGTCTCCCACTATCATTGTGTTGGGAATCTGTGTTTTAAGTCCAGTAGTATCTATTTAATGAAGTTGGGTGTGCCAATACTGAGCACATATAAATTAACAATTGTTATTTCTTCTTGATGTATTGTTTCTTTTGTTAGTATGAAGTGGCCTTTTTTTGTCTCTTCTAACTTAACTTTGAAGTCTGCTTTATCATTTATAAGTATAACTATTTCTGCCTGCTTTTTTTTGGGGGGGGGCGGATTTTTTGCTTTTAAAACCTGTTCCATCCTTTTACCATAAGCCAGCTTATTTCTGCCTGTGAGATGTGTTTCTTGTAAACAACAAATCACTGAATCTTCCTTTTTAATCCAGCTTGCTAATATGTCTTTTGATAGGGTTAGTACTGAGAGGTGTTACTATTGAGAGGTATGTGATGATTCTTACTTTTTTTGTTGCTTTTGGTGTGTGTATGTGTGTGTGCACAGTTGATTTTTTTCTACTCTACAGCTTGTTTGCTCATCTCCTTAGGTTTAATTACTCCCATCCTTTCTTGGCTGTGTTTAACTTAATTGTCTATGTGTGTAAGATTCCTTTGAGTATCTTTTGGAGTGCTGGTTTAGTGGGTTTTTTTTTTTAAATATGTGTTTCTGTTTATCATGAATTTTTTTAATTCTTCAATTATGAATGATTGCTTTACTGAGTAGAGTACTCTAGGTTTGTAATTCTTTTCTTTTCTTTTCTTTTTTTTTTCTGGCCAAGAGATTCTTTATTGCGGGTGGGAGAGGGAGAGAGCCGAGAGAAGAGGGGTGGGGGACAGGGGCTTAAAAATCCCTCAGTGAGACTCAGCATGATCTGATTGGTTAGGATCTTATGGTTCATGCTGATTGGAGGTTGGGGCAGAAAGAGGATTCAAGCTAGACTTGAGGCAGGACTGTGACCCTGGAAAACAGAAGCTTAAGGGTGCAGTAAGAACTGAAACCTATCGGCGCCATTATTGCCAACATTCCTCCCTTTTTTGTTTGTTAAGGAAGGGGGGCATTGTGTTCGCTCTGGCTTCTTCGAGCTGGCAAGGGGCAGCATAGGGGAAGGGAGGGTTAGTTGGCAAACAGTGTCGGGTGGTGAGCCTCATGATGGCATACACCCAGGCTCCAAAAATGAAGATTTCCTCTTCCCTGAAGTTGATGAAGGTCCCTTGTAGCCATAGGTCATAAAGAGTCTCGAGCCAATCCTCTGACCTCGCATGGTGGGTATCAGCCAACTATCCTCAGTTTTGGAGAGGTTGGTATCCCTGGAGATACAACTGGTTAAATTTCTGATTAGCAATAGCAGACATGTGTGTGATACAAGGGAGAAAGATTAAGAATAGGAGAGCAAGAACACAGGCATTAGGATGGGTATTGGCC